CAAAATGCATGTGCTATCATGCACATTACTAATGCAATGGGGTTTAAAGTGAAAACTATTGGATTTATTCCACTAGGATTTGGAGATACTTAATTCTTCATCTAATTGATGATGTTTGTTCTTGCTCCCAGTTACTGCAGAAACTTATTTCTTGTTTCTCGAACATATGACATGATTTTCTGTGTTATCAAGTTAACTCCAATTATGTAACGTTAGTTTCGACCTAGGGTGAGACAAGTTATGTTTTTCATCTGAATGGATCATTTGTAAAGATTATGTGTTATGTTACAATTAAAGATGTAAGAGAAGTGTAAATAATGAGACCTCATCGAAATTGTGGTTTTAGACCACATTTCGAGGGGGAGAATGGAAGTCTCGTTTAATATGAGATATCACGTTCACTTCTCTTACTTAGATCAAAATATGTATGTTAATTCTCTAATTAAAGATAGAACCAACGAGAAGTCTTGGTTGGAGAATGTATGAAAATCATATACTAATGTCAATTATCTAATTAAGATGCAACAAGTCTTATTTAGAAGAATGGATAAAAATTACTCATTTTATTACGTTAATGTGTACTTAATCCCTTATGAGCATTATGAAGCACACATGAATGCTAAAGTGAAGCTTGCTAGTCTAATGACCATCATGATGTAACATGTTGATTATATATATGACCAACGTCATTTATAATCATATGTCGCACTTCACTCAAATGGCAAGCTTGTTAGTATCACGTGGCTTGTGGTTATATTTTTGACTATCGTCATTTATAATCATTTGTCACAATTCATTAGGTTCTTTTCCATCTTCAGCCCAACGGTGTTGTGGTTTAGAACTTAAATGATTATTATCAAGATATTGGATATGTTTTCCATTTTTTCAAATAAAGTGATCATGGGGGAACTGGAGCGTATGAACATGAATCTTAAGGATAACTCCAGTAGATCTTTGTTCATACGCATCAGGTAAGTTGAGAAGAAATGCATATTGCAATACTCAATGTTGAGACTTAACAATTTCCGTGTGATTCATAATGTGTGTGAATGATCATCTTAGAGGCTTGTGTGATAATGAGCTCTAATGATGTATGGAACTCAATAGAGTTTCCTCGGTGAGTTGTTTTGACGCTTGTGTTATTATTATAACATACTCTTGTGTTGACTAAGTTAAGAATGTATGTATGACTTAACCGTAAGGTTTCGTCAAATAGGTGAAGTTAACACAAGGTATGTTGCCCCAAGAAATTCAATTATGAAATAAGAAAGCGTCGGGACACTCATACCATAAAACCAGGGGGAGTAAGTATACTACCTTGAGAAGATGGAATATTTTTGGCGGGACCAAGAATTTTCTACCTTCCATTTATGACATAAAGAATCTTGGTCATGCCCTATACTTTGTTTGTGTCGAGTTTCGCCAAGATTCCAAAAGTGGTATAAGTTTTATCATGAAGACATGCATCGATAGAGTACGAAAGAAAATATTATGTGGTAGTACTCTTATCGCACCTGCTACTAAAGTCAAGGGCAATAAGAGATGGACATTTTAGTGTCCAAGGAACCATTATGAACTGATCAGATAATGTCGGTTCCTTATGCTTCAGTTGTCGGAAGCAATATGTGTATTCAAGTATGAACATGCCCTTGTTTTGTGATCGGGATAATTGGCAAATATACAAGTAAGTCCAGAAATGGACCACTGGAAAAGCCGAGAAATGTCTTGCAGATATGCAAGAGAATAAAGTTTACATGCTCACTAATAAGAAGTCTAATAACTTCGATATCCTGGGATATTCGGACATTGCTTCTGCGAGATGTGTGGATCTTAAAGTTTCCACGCTATGTTACATCCTCACTCTCGCACATGGAGCTATATCGTGGAAAAGCTCTATAATGACACTGATGGCATTAGAAATAATGCACTTACTTATGTGGCATGCCAAGAGGCTATTGGGCAGGTTGTATGTCAAGAAGTTTTATTCCCGAGTTAAGAGTGATAGACAACATCTCTAAGACACTTACTGCGATTATGAGCACGCAGTTCTCTATGTGAGTAACAACAAGTCAATTGTTATTGCCAAAACCATTGACATAATGTCTCTGTTGTGAAACATAGAGTCCAGGATCAAACCTATGGTGTTTGATTTATAAAGTTTTGCGGTACCGCTTACTAAAGGCTTACCACCCATTTTATGATGATATCTTGCCGGCATGGGTTCATAAAGCCTTTTGATCCTGGAAATTAGGACCATCATATAAACCAACTCCCATAAAGTATTATGTTTCCATCTCGAGATAGAATGATGTACTATAGGTACTGAGGTTCACTGATATCTCATTATCTCATTGGTCATTGTAACACATTACTTTGGTATGTTATTTCTATTAAGAGTGGGCTTATGATGTTTGTTAACCTTACGATCAAGGGGGAGAATGTTGGAATTGATCTCAGGTTGTAATAGACCGAGATAAAAAGAAGGGGAGTCCAATCCCACGTTGGTGCTTTGATCGGGGGCACCCAAACCCAATGTTTTGGTTTCGGTCCCCGGTCCATCAGTTCCCATATAAAAGGAAGAGGTCACGTACCTGTTCAGATAAGAAAAGAAAAACACAAACGGGTTAAACTCCTGAGTGCTAACAACCGATCCTAAAAAGAGGGAGCTGATGTGCTGGAAGGCCGACTACCACCGCCGGCCACCGCAAGGTCAATGCCGGTGGCCCCTACAGCGGCGTTCCTGATGCACGTCCACACCATCTACGTGCTGTTTTTCTCCCGGCCATATCTTCATCGCCGGAGACCCCAAGGTGCAGCCATGGGCTACACAAGGGGCTGCATCGAGCAGCCATGGAATTTCGCCAATCAATGTAAGTTTGTACGCTTCCGCATAATACTGATGTTCTAGTCCGAGATTAAGTCCTAAAGTTGATTAGCCTAAAGCCAATTAATCTAACAGGCGATTCTGAGCGGCGCGGTTGAGATGACCCAGCCGCCGTCATGGCAGCCGATGAGCCGCCTACTGCCCCGGGGAAGCTGGAGCCACACCATGGCACCATCCTCGGGGCAGTGCAGGCGCTTCCACCTGCTGCAATTGCAGGGCTCGAGGAGCAGCCACGGCAGCGCGGCCCTGGGCGGCGCCCCTCGCGCCGCGGCCCGCCACGACCGGCAGACGGCGGCGAAGCGCACACGGTCGCGCAGGGAGGTGACCATGCGGTACACAACGGCGAGGACGTCGTCCGGGAACGCGGACGACCAGCGCCGCCGCGCGGCCGGCCTCGCTGTACGCGCACGCTTCTTTTCCCTCGACATCGATCGTTAGTGGACAAACCTATCGTGGAGAAAAACGCAAACTAGGTTTAACTTGTTTGTTGGGTACATGCACGAAATCGATTGGAAATCTCTAACATCATCTGAAAAAAGATCCAACGTATCTCCTACTCGGTTACGACACGTCGACACGGATTGTAGAGTAGTACTCCACCAATGGCATCAAACCTTTATATTTCTATGCTATAATTTTTGTTGGTAAATATACATGTCCAGGAATTTTACTACTTGCATCGTCACAAAAAGAAAAAACTACTAATCACGTGCTACCCGAGCAACCAAAATTTGTACCCCATTCACCTGTCGAATTTCCAGGTATGGAAGATTAGAAAAGTGGCTTGCTCTTTGAATATTCTGCAAAACTTCACCGAAATAATAAGATTTAACAAACCTTTACTTGAATGTTGATGATAGATCTCTTTGGATCGGAGTAGGCTAGATCTTCCGGTGAACCTACCTTTCTCCTTGTCCATATGAGGAACTCCCGGTGCCGGCCATGGTGACGGTGGCCGGTGATGGCAGAGAGTGGATGGCGGCGGTGGTGGAGCTTCCCGTGAGCGCCGCGCTAACCCTAGATGGAAAGGAATTATCGATGGGGTTTATGGCAATGATCAACCTCGCAAGTCGTGCCCCGGCTCCCATCTCTGTTTATATAGCGCGGGCCACAAGGGCCCACCAACCTTCGTTTGGTTGGGCGCCCCCGATCAGGGCGCGAGTCAGGGGCCCGTTCGACCCGTTGGGTTCGAACGGGAGAGAGATCAACCTAACAGTTGAAACACAAACCAGCTCAACGAGTTGATTATAGTCGTTGTGCCCTCGATGTGGCTTGAGCGTAATGCTCGACAAAGTGGCCTTCCTTCCTACTCCCGTGATAGCAAATATTCCACTAGGTGGAAATAGCTATGAATTTAGAAAACATTTTAAAAAATGCCTATGAATTAAAAATGTTGAGAACATTTTTTTAAATATCCATGAATTTAGAAAATGCTAAAAAAATATGTTCCTGAATACACAATTTTTCATGAATTAAAGATATAAAAACAAAAAATAGAAATAATGAAAACCAAAAGAAAACAGCTAGAAAATCACAGAAAAAACAGCGGAATCTTCCGAAACCTTCCCAAAACAGAAAGGGGAAACATCAGTGAAACCATTTTTTTTCTTGTATAAGTAAATGCATATGTGGTCATCTTTGCTCATTGCTTTCGTGAAGCAAATTCAGTAGCCCATGATGAGCTAGCTAAGTTCAGTTTTTGTAATAAGTGTCAGACAAGTTAGATGCATGAACCTCCTGGGTTCTCAATTCCCCAACTAGTGAACGATGTAATTCTTGTTTGATATTAATAAAGCTAGCCATGATGGTCTCCCTCCCCAATAAATAAATAAATAAATAAATAAATGCATCTGTGGTGATTTTATCTTTTTTTCTTGTATATATATAAATGCATCTGTGGTGACTTTGTCAATGTAGTTAAAAAACCCCACATTTTTAGAGAAAAAGGTTGGTTAAACGAGGACTTGGACCCATATACTAACCAAAGTGGCCCAAGCAGACAAAGCATGGGCCCTTTCTGGCCACTAGACGAAAGAAAGTGTGCTAAAAAAACGTAACGAAGCAAAGTCTTCTCTCTTTCCTCTCTGGTCTCGTCCAGTTCCAAAGAAACCATGCGATGCGGCCGCGACTTCCCGACACCAAACTCAAACCGGCCGCCGCACCACCACGCCGCCCGCCTCCTCCTCCGGCAGCCGCCCGCCTCCTCTCCACCGCCGCGCCACCTTCCGACCCATGCCACCTCCAGCAACAGCAGCAGCAGCAGCAGCTCGACCTCGATGACCACATCGCCCGGGGCGACCTCACGCGCGCCCGCCACCTGTTCGACCGAATGCCGGACCCGGACGCCCGCGCGTACAACTCCCTCATCCGGGCCTACTCCTGGCGCGGCCCCGCCCACGCCGCCGGCGCGCTCGCCCTCTACGCTGCCATGCTCCGCGACGCCCGCTGCCCGCCCAACAAGTACACCTTCCCCTTCGTCCTCAAGGCCTGCTCCGCCCTCCAGGACCTCCGCGCGGGCCGCGCCATCCACCGCCACGCCGCCCGCGCGGGCCTCCACGCCGACCTCTTCGTGTGCACCGCCCTCATCGACCTCTACATGAAGTGCGCCCGCTTCGTCCCTGCCGCCGCCGTCTTCCACGCCATGCCCGCCAGGGACGCCGTCGCGTGGAACGCCATGCTTGCCGGCTACGCGCTGCACGGCATGTACCACCACGCGCTCGAGTGCCTCCTCCGCATGCAGGAGGGATGCGCCAGCCTCAGGCCCAACGCCTCCACCCTCGTCGCCCTCCTCCCGCTGCTCGCCCAGCAGAGCGCGCTCTGTCAAGGAAAGTCGGTGCATGCCTACAGCGTCCGTGCCTCTCTCCACGACAAGGACGGGGTGCTCGTCGGCACCGCGCTGCTGGACATGTACGCAAAGTGCGGGGAATTGCTCTACGCACGCAGGGTCTTCGAGGCCATGCCCATCAGGAACGATGTTACTTGGAGCGCCATCATTGGAGGTTTTGTGGTTTGCGGCAGGATGACGGAGGCCTTCGGTCTGTTCAAGGACATGCTGGCACAAGGACTGGGCTTCCTTTCCCCGACCTCCGTCGCCAGCGCTCTCAGAGCCTGCGCCAGCCTGGCTGATCTCCACATCGGTAAACAGCTTCATGTCTTGCTTGCGAAATCTGGCCTCCACTCTGACCTGACCGCCGGGAACTCGCTCCTCTCGATGTATGCCAAGGCTGGGTTGATCGACGAAGCTACTGCCCTTTTTGATGAGATGGCGGCCAAGGACACGGTCTCTTACAGTGCGCTCGTATCAGGATATGTGCAGAATGGCATGGCGGATGCAGCGTTTCTCGTCTTCAGGAAGATGCAGGCCTGCAACGTACAGCCGGATGTTGCCACAATGGTGTCACTCATCCCAGCGTGTGCACACCTGGCGGCTTTGCAGCATGGCAAGTGCAGCCATGGTTCCGTCATAGTTCGTGGAATGGCACCAGAGACCTCTATCTGCAATGCCTTGATGGATATGTATGCAAAGTGTGGAAGGATTGGTCTCTCCAGACAGATCTTTGATGTCATGCCAGCTCGGGATATTGTGTCGTGGAATACTATGATTGCGGGATACGGAATCCATGGTCTCGGGAAAGAAGCCACTGCGCTGTTCTTGGACATGAACAATCACGCTTGTGAACCTGATGGCGTCACATTCATTTGCCTAATTTCGGCGTGCAGCCATTCCGGGCTCGTGACTGAAGGGAAACGCTGGTTTCACATGATGGCACATAAGTATGGTATAACTCCAAGGATGGAGCACTATATCAGCATGGTTGATCTTTTGGCGAGGGGGGGTTTCCTTGATGAAGCCTATCAGTTTATCCAGAGCATGCCAATGAAAGCAGATGTTCGTGTATGGGGAGCCTTGCTTGCAGCTTGCCGGGTTCATAAGAACATCGATTTAGGAAAGCAAGTAGCTAGGATGATCCAGAAACTAGGACCTGAGGGGACTGGTAACTTTGTTCTGTTGTCCAACATGTTCAGTGCCGCTGGGAGATTTGACGAGGCAGCAGAAGTTCGAATAATACAGAAGGAGAAGGGGTTCAAGAAGAGCCCTGGCTGCAGTTGGATCGAGATAAATGGCTCTCTGCATGCATTTATTGGCGGGGACAGATCTCATCCACGGTCACCTGAGATATATCAAGAGCTGGATAACATCCTGGTAGATATTAATAAATTGGGTTACCAGGCTGATACAAGTTTTGTTCTCCAAGATCTTGAGGAAGAGGAAAAGGAGAAGGCGCTTCTTTATCACAGCGAAAAGCTAGCAATAGCTTTTGGTGTCCTCACACTTAGTGAAGATAAGACCATTTTTGTTACGAAGAATCTCCGTGTGTGTGGAGATTGCCATACTGTTATCAAGTACATGAGCTTAGTCAGGAGAAGGGATATAATCGTCAGAGATGCCAATAGGTTTCATCATTTCAAGAATGGGCAATGCAGCTGTGGAGATTTTTGGTGACAGCAATACTACAGTCCGGTACATGACCTCTCAGTTTTGTCTTGTATCAGTCATTCAGTTGCATGCCTTCAATAGTGGAGCATTTAGAACTTCAACAGAATGCCCTTTGAGGTGCCAAGTTTCTATGTTCCTGCAAGTTTTGCCCGATGATTGTGTCATGAAGTCAAAAGGAAAATCTCAAGGCATGTAAATGTGCTATTCTTCCAAATCAAGCAAATTCAGTATAATGATGGTATGATCTAAACAAGATCTGATTCTGTAGGTTTCAATTTGCAAACCAAGATGACACTGAATTGTTGTTGGCGTTAGTGCTTTCGCTCCAGGTCACAGGAAACTATTAACAATGTTACAAAGGATTTGGTACGCAGTCAAGCTAGAATAACACAAATATAACTTGCATTTTTAGTAGAAATCCCAGAGGTACATGCTTAGTATCATCAGTTGTAGAATTCTGAACTATCAGATAGTCCAGTTGATGAAATGAAATGGTGTCTCAAATATGATCCTGCGCACTTCCCTATCCTGGAGATTAGAAAAGCTAATCAGCAAGTGAAGTTAGACTCTTAACCATCATAGTAATCTGTCCATTTTCTCAACCTTTCTTTTGACATAATTAGTTGCTTTCTGTTCAAAAGCATCATTAGCGGCTTAATGCTACCTTCTTACTGCAAGAGATGATGGATATCAGGAACTTGTTCAGCGAGAAATTCCTGGGATCCCTGCGGCAGCCCTAACTATGAAGAGAAGGCGTGCATTTGAGGCGCAACAGGAACAAGCTATTAGAAAAATCTGATCATCATTTGTAAAATGTGTGTGCTTTTATTTGTCGGGGATAACCAGCTAGGGGCATAATTTTTCTCTATCGGTCAGGGGTTGTTCCTCTAGTAGGAGTAGTTTCCATGGTCCTATTGGCGCTGGAGCCAAGGGGCATCGCACTTCTCTTTCTTCTTCGAATTCATTCGGTGACAGAGCTTTCTGAAGATGCCATCATGGCTTTCATTTCTTTGAAGCAGTGTGCTGATCCATCATAATATTTTTCCCCCTCATTTTCTGCAGGTGATCTCTTCTTTGTTGAGAGAGAGAGAAACTGCAGATGATCTCTTCTTTGTGCACGTGAATGGCAGAGATTATATATCTACTTGGAAGAAAGCACTCAGCAAGCCCGTCTAGCTCAGTTGGTAGAGCGCAAGGCTCTTAACCTTGTGGTCGTGGGTTCGAGCCCCACGGTGGGCGCATTTCCTGTTTTTTGTTTCTTTTTTTGTTCTGCTGCAAACAAACTCTGTACTGATATTTTGCCCAACAAGAGTGCCCCAAACTGCATTTTCATGCGTGCTGCCTTGTTGGCATGTACAACAATGCAAAAAAAAGGGGGTGAATTTTCAGATGTACAGTTAAGCCTAGTGATCTAGCCTGCCATACATCTTACTTGCTGTTTATGTATCCCAACAGGCACAGCAGAGGGTATTATACTGATACTGGGGTTGATGTTGGTCACCCCACTATCTGAAGCAAAAACACCTGCAAACCTCAGTGTTTATGTATCCCAACAGGCACAGCAGAGGGTATTATACTGATACTGGGGTTGATGTTGGTCACCCCACTATCTGAAGCAAAAACACCTGCAAACCTCAGTGGTCGTTGCATCTGGACCCGGGAGCTGCTGCTGGGATGTTCGAGCCCCACGGTGGGCGCATTTCCTGTTTTTTGTTTCTTTTTTTGTTCTGCTGCAAACAAACTCTGTACTGATATTTTGCCCAACAAGAGTGCCCCAAACTGCATTTTCATGCGTGCTGCCTTGTTGGCATGTACAACAATGCAAAAAAAAGGGGGTGAATTTTCAGATGTACAGTTAAGCCTAGTGATCTAGCCTGCCATACATCTTACTTGCTGTTTATCTATCCCAACAGGCACAGCAGAGGG